GTACAAATTGGGGGACATCTTGCAGGTGAGGAAATCTGCTCGCCAAGGGAAGCTAGCGCCACGATTCTTCGGGCGATTCCGCGTGATTGAGCTCGTTCCGAACGGTGTGAACACCGTGCGGCTTGCACCTGAGGTGTCCGACAACCAATCGGCTCGTCCGATCATCCGCCACGTGTCCTACCTTCCGTCCCCTTCCTTCTTCCCTATCTTTGCCTTCATCTGACTCCTCCTCCAATGCGGAAGAGGACGACGACTGCTTATCGCCTATCTCTCTGTCTCCTTCGTGTTCTCTTTCTGTTGCTCCATCCCCGTCACCATCGCCATGAGTTTTCTTGCTGAGTGAGCTCTCGGCGATCCTCTGCTGGTACCACGGTGTTACATATCGGCGATCCGACAAGTTCATCATCCGCAGCTCAGCCCGGATCTTCGGCGACTCGCGCAATTCTTCTATACTGAGGGAGTCTACGCAGCAGCTGAGTTTCGATTTGCATGCAGTCCCCGAGCGGTTGTTTTGGCGGAAGCGGTAGTGGTTCATTGACGATCAGCCCACGGAATCAGCTACGTGTCTACGGTTTTCGCCTTCAGTGGCGACATCAGCACCATCAGCCCGCTGTGACATACGGCTATCAAGACGACGCTTCGGCTGTGGGCGCAGTAGTTGGCGTCAGAGTGGAATCGTTGACTTACGCCTCACGGGGATAACCTTTTCCCCACGGACGGCCTCGACCTCGACGGGATCTGAGCTTTCCAGCACGAGCCGGCGGTGGTGCTCCCTGAACTCATCCCCTTCCAACATCCCCAATAAACCCGTCCCTGATCTCTACCTTCGACCTCCCTTCCTTCTTTCCCACCTTTTGGCAATCCAGAGTTCATCCGCATCTCTCGTTTTCTGTGATATCAGTCGCTGTCCCCCTCCTTGATCCCCAACAATGGAGGCGTTGGCGAGAGCATTTCGACGATTTGTCGGCATGTCAGGTCGGAGTGAAGATCACGTGGACGTGGCACGAGGATCACCGCCAGTGGGCTGAGTACCTTGAGCTGCTTATCATCCAAGCGTGGAGAACGGGAGTGGAGGGCGATCTCCTCGGATTCCACTTCGGATCGGTGCGGCCCGACCATCACCAACTAATCGTGCAAGAGCTAACGGTCCCCCTTGTGCAGCTGGCCGACGATCTCCCACTCGAGATCGTCTCGCAGAGTGACAACAGCCCAGTCTCGCACGTCCTCCCACGGACATTGACACCATACCTTCAGTGGTCGGCGTGCTTGGAGGAGCCAGGAAGCAGCCGCAACCCACCGTCACAGCGCGATTATCTAGACCCGCACGAAATAGTCGATCTCGCCTTCTTTCAAGATCAGACGGCTTCCGAGAACGAGGAGGTAGAGATTGAAGCGGAAGAGGAAAGCTCGGAAGAAGAAGAAGAAGTTGAAGAAGAGGACGCAGAGGAAGAGACTCCGGAAGCAGGGAGTTACAGTGAGCACAACGAAGGGGAACAACACGTTATTCGTTAAAATATGACATTATACTGTATCCTCTTTCTGACGAATTAATTTTTGGCTGCAGCCTAAGCAACGTAGGCATGCCCATCCAAGGGTTAACCACATGCAGAAGCGTGCTGAGATCCATACTTGTGAAACTTCATAAATGAAATCCTAAATGTGGAAGTGTGTTAGGATCCTTATTTGTTGAACTTCAAAAACATGTTGGTGATCCTGTGGGGAAGTGTGTTGGGATCCATACTAGTCAAACTTCATAAACGAACAACGATTGGCACGCCAAAGCGAACCCTGTGCGGAAGTGTGCCGTGGTCCTAACTTGTCAAACTTCAATTTCATAAATGTGATGAAAGATACAGTAAGTATATTGAGACACTGTCCTCTTTCTTACGAATTCATTTTTGACTGCAGTGTTTGTATATGGGCCCGCCCAGTCGCCCCAAATGCGAAAGTTTGCTGACATCCATAGTTGTTGAACTTTTGTAAACAAAATTAGCAATGTAATTAGATTGAATTAGATTAAATTGTGCTCCATCACGATGAGTATCCGCATTTTAAATGGTCATGTAAAGAAGGTTTGGGCATCCACTGATCAATTTCACATAAGATGAGATTCCTCATTCATCCACCAACCAGTTTCACAATCATGTTTACACTTCCAGTTGAACAGAATTCGAAACATGGAACACAATACTTCGACTTTAACAAAATTCGGAACATGGAACATTACGTGACATAGATTACAAAGCCCATACATGACGCAGGACATGCATTGAGCTTGCCGTAGATAACGCGAACTCAGAACGATAAAAGAAAGCAATGCCTTTGGCAGAAGGACAATTGAATAATGTCTCGATTTACGAAATTTAATGATCAACGAATGAAACACCTTAAAAAAAGTTTCGAAGTCAATCAAATCCATCAAAGACAACGATGTTCTAAGACACATGATGCTAATTGTCGTCTAAAAAGGGGAATATCTTTACAAGAGAACCGGAAAGGCGGTCGATCTCCATGTTGCAACAACGTCGCATACATCAACATGAACACACCACAGCTTGCTCCATCCACTTGTCTCGGAACTCCATCCACCACAACATTTCCCACCATGGACTTCCAATTCCTACCCGACCGCCTATGTGATGTTTGACGTTCCAAATAGTGCACAATCAACCTGAAAACACTAAGGTAAAAACTAGAATCAGCTACAATGCGAGGACAAAATCAAAAATTTCGGGAACATCATCTCTCATGTTGATGGAAACGAGGATCCAGTGATCATCATCTTTGTGGACAGGAACGAAGATAATATCGTAACGAAGCAAATCTATGTTTTTAGCCCACCTCTGCACCCCACCGTGTCCTTGAAGTCGCAGTTTACTGAAGAAGAACAAATTAAAGCTGAAGACTTGAAGGCCTCAAGAGATGTCACGTGACCCACATGCGGTCGACCCCAACAATGCCATATAGAAATTGACCACCTCATCATTCACCCTGCCGTTGACATGCAAGAGGGCGAGGAGATCTTTTGCTGCAATCCGAAATTGACCATCGCCCAGTATAGAGAGAATAATGTTAGACGGCACCGAGCCTCGTACAATGTCGTCCAAAATCCGCAAGCTCAGAGGCGCAATCGTCGCAACAAAACTTTTCCCGCGTGCTGCACTTGTTGCCCGCACTGCACAGCATCGAGCAAAGGAAACGTGGGGTAGTGAGAAACGGAGTTCTAGACATTGTCCCCCGGTGCATGACGCGTTGCTAAGTACTTCTCATACATGGCCTGACCCCTACTCACAGATCGTGGATATATCCCTTTCTCTTGGGCAAGAAGGGAAAGACATTCATCAATGGCAACGGTGTACTCCTTCTTCCCGATCTCGACATCAACCCCTGATGTCTTTAACATATCCTTGTGTTTTTTACTCAACCCGGGGACTTTCTGCAATATGTGCTCTGGATATTTGGAGGACCTCCGTGTTCAAGACGACACCATCCCTGTACAACAGAAGAAACACAAAACGAAAAATGAGAACCATACATTCGTACAGTCGCAACAGTCAAGTTGGACCTCTCCGACCACAGGACCCTGATCTCGCGTGGTCATGTGCACCCAGGTGCGGTTGTGTGACTGGAAAACAAAATGACTGCAACATCCAAGCTTATCACCTTCGCACTTCGCACAGAAGACGGAGGCCAGCAATTCGCGAAGTTCGGACTGCAGCGGACTTTTCAACACACCAGCCCCACTTAGACTGACCACATCAGGCATCGACAAACGAAGTTCGGATCCCGGCGAACTAAAACCGGCATTATTCCTGAGAAGGGAAAACTGTCAGTCCATGTACTTGGCCACTTTCTTAGCACATTGGCCACTTCCTCAGCCAGGGCAGATCCTTCCTTGGATGGAGTGTAAGGTTTTGGACGAAGTTTTCGCCACCCTCGACTAGCAACCTGGCCGAGTCACAGATAGGCCGACGAGCTGGAGTAGGAAGGGCTGCTGGCTGTAGCATGCCTGCATCTGGAACTTCTCGTATGCACAGACAATGTGGACAGTCGTCGTGTGTATAGCGCGAACTGTAATCCGGCGACATCCGGATGCGCAGGCGTTCTTCACGGCTTACCAGTCTGTTTCTCTCTCCGCTCCTTCGATGGTGAATTAGGCGCAGGCAAAGCGAGCACGTCGAGAGCCTGACTGCCGAACCTCGATTTTTTTGGGGACGTCACATGCTGTCCTCCACTGCACTCGCCTTCCCCTTCGGCGGCAAGAGTGGCCTGCAGCACCAGAGACTTCGGCGACGACGAAGCGAGGGCAGCTGCCAAGATGCGACGTTGGCAGTTGCGGACGGACGGGCAGACACATTGTGGTCGCCGAGGATACCGTCGATAACTTCGTCGATGCTTATACGTCGACTTTTTTCAGACGGGCTGATGGCGAAGGAAGCCTCGTCGAACCGGTGCTGCAAGTCGACAGCAGACGTCAGTGGCCGGACCGCATAATCTTCGGGCTCTGCGAAAACGCTGTTGACCACTTGTGTCTCCATCTCTATTGTCGTGGCATCGTCATCGACATCATCGTCATCGACATCATCGTCATGATGCTATCCGTACAGTTATTTGAACTCGCCAGACGACTCTCCAAATCCGGCATCGTCCTCACTGTGTTCCACTTCGTCTTCTCCAGACCCGGCACCCTCCCTTCCTTCAAACAAATCAATTAGCTCCGTTTCTCCTGCTTCCTCCCCTTCCACCTCTTCTTCCCCTTCTTCCTCCCCTTCTTGCGCTCCCTTCTGTTCCTCCATTTCCTCCCCTACTTCCCTCCCACGAAACTCGTCCCCTTCCGCGGTACCCGTGCCGAATCACGAGGACCGCCCTTCCGTCCTCGTGCACGCTGCCCCTCTCAACGGCACGACAATCCCTGGCCGACAAACCCCGCCCGAAGAAGTTTGGATCTCGGCGGACTTCGTGGTCTCTGTGTCACCGGACCCTGCACTTGCAGCCTCCAGCTGCAATCCTTGCGGCTGTCGCTCCCGCTCAAGCGACACCGTTCCTACGTCTCCGTCCTACGCCGCAATGCTGCGAATTTCTCGATCCGTGCTTGGATCCCCCGACCCCGAGCAGCTTCGCAATCCAGACCGCTCTGGCGGCTCCTCTCCCGACGTAGTTCGGATCCCGGCGGACTTCGGCTTTCCGGCCGAACGACTGCCCAGAGCAGCCAAGGCTGCCAACGTGTCCCTCGCTGAGCCCACGGACGAAGTCTGGGGGTCGGCGGAGTGTGTCGTGTGCCCGGGCCAGGTGCCTGTCGACGGAGTCCGGTCGATGGCAAAACCCGCCACCCCGGCGCTGCCTCCCGGTGTCAAGTTGCGGCCGTGAGACCCTCTCTCCCCCATAGGCGGGATTCCTTTGCCACCCCCTGCATCGCCACCCCCATCCCCTCCGCTTCCAGGTGACCCCCCCTCGGAACCACCGTCCGGCCCACTTGGAGGGGGCACTTTCCAGTCCACCACGCCCTTCGACGGACTCGTGTCGAGCTCGTAGTAGTCCTCCGTAATTTCCAACCAGCACTTGTCCTGAAGCTCGTCGAACAGTCGACCGGCAGTGGAAATGAGGGACAGGTCGCGGAGTGCTAAAGTGTCATTTTCGACCTTCACTTTCTGGAGGACCGAAATCCTCGCGAGGTGCAGGAAGTTGGACTTCGACTCGCGTGGGAATGACACCCATCCCGCGCCCGGGATTGCCACGGCCATGAACCACTTGCCATTTCGTATCGCTGGCTGGATGACTCCCGGATGCCAAACCATGTCATGGCCCCAGTCCTGCTCAGGTGAATGACGTTGCGGTTCAAGCAGAAAGTGGATGTTGTCATCCTTCCAAGACGGATGATCGGGTGGGACAACGGACCCGGGACGCAAAGCGGGCGGGGGGGCGGCCAGAGCTCTAAGTCTCTCCAGCAATTTCATCGGCGTGATGCCCGGCGCCGGTTTGGCCAATGGTGACACGAGGGCTGCAGCGCTTGGTGATGGACTGGCCGACGAGGACCCTCGTCCGTGGTCCACCGGAGGCAGGTCGTACTGCAGGTCGATGCTCTCCGTGTCGCTCTCCTCCTCCTTCGTGTAGGCGACAAACTCCACACCTATGGCTTCCTCGTCGTTAGTGGAGATCAGGGAAGCGTAACTGGCTAACTTCAACTGCTCCTCAGACTCCACGAAGTACAGCGATTGCAGCCTTTCGATAAACGTCTTCGTGTTCATGCGGGAGGCGAAGTGGTAGTTGTCGAGCAGTGCCAACATGTGGTCCTTTCGGCGGATATACTCGGCGTCAGTGTCCCTCCTCGGACGCGTTTGAAGGAACAAGAAATCGTATATCTTGTTCCTCTTCCTCTCGCTCAACTTAAACCACATATCCGTCTTCTTGCTCCACACCTTATCCCGTGTTGGCCTCACGACCATGAACTCACAATTGTGTCCACTCGAATTGACCTCGCTTTTCACCACCTGCATCGTGAATTGCAAGAGGTCGGAGTTCCCTTCCATTACGACAACGTGGCGGCCGGCCTTCAGAAGCTCCCAGACGCTTCGCGCGTGCGGTTTCCCAAGGTACACGACACCCTCTCCCTTCTTGCCAAGAAAATCAAGAAGACCGACGAATTGGGTCGGATTGCGTTCCATATCCTCGTAGACGCTGCCCTGTCGTTCAGGCGCCACCAGCGACCAGTCGCAAGTTGTGAAAGGAATCTCGGACACATCCGTTTGGGTGACCCTTTGAGGCAATCGCACCGCAGCAGCGGCACCCGTGGGCAGGTTTCCCTCGTAGACCACGGACGTGTTGACGCGCAGAACGTCACCCTTGAAGAGGATGTACATGCGGTCTTTCTCCGTGCACAAATTGTTCCCAACGGGGAAGCTTTTTTTTTGCTGCACTCTCCGCACCCACTTCCCTTCCAACAGCTTGATGAACGAAAGATGGTGCATGCTGGCGAGAAATGACCGGTTGTGCTGCCGCGACACGAAAACAACGAAAGTCCAATGTGAGGGACACCACGTCTGAAGATAGGAATTCAAAGTCTCCCACGCTTGGGGCTTCCACAGTTTGAGGTCAACCGGCTCGCACAGATCGAGGACGAACGTGTGGCTTTTTGTGGCAGTCACTGCCTCCTTCAGCTCTGCGCCCCGGATGTCCGCCTCTAAAGGGTCGTTGGCGAACGGCGCGATGGATGTCACGTCCCCCGTGTCTTTCCATTTAATGTGAACGATGCCTTCGGCAAGTGCAACTTCCCGGCTCTCGAGTCTGCTTCCATTCAACACGGAGAGAACCTTGTTTCTCCAGTCGATGGACAACTTCTTGTGGCCCGCCAACTTCTCCGTCACCTTAATCGAGTTGTCCTGGTTGCAACCCATGTACGGCGGGCAGTCCTCGAACAGCGCCGAGTCGGAAACATGTTTCCTGCTGTTATCCCACAACTCGTCATCCAATCCCTGACCTTCAAACTTCTTGAACAGGGCAGACCTCAATTTCAGGAAAGGGTACATTTGGATCCAGTCCTCGTCCGGCCTTTTCTCGTGCTTGAATTGGTAGTAATTCCACAACCGGACCAGCAGGCGGTCGCACTTCACCAGCTGAGTCATGTCCTGCACGCTGAGCTTTCCCAACTTCGCCAACGACGGGGAACCGGCGTGGACCCAAACGACCTCGCAAGCAAGCACCTTTTTCAGAACGCGGCACTTCTCATTGTCCTTGAGTGATTCAATTGCTTTCCAACAATGCGCGTCCGGGTCTAGCACTTGCACGAACCAATCGCCCTCCTCTTTCTCCTTTTTGCCCTTTTTATTCGGCGGGTCCACGGGGACGTTGTACACCACCTCCGTTCTGCCCAGTTTGTCGTTGTGGATGTAGGCGACCCTAGGCTTTATGTTTTTGACCTTCTTCTTTTTGACGGTCCACTTCGCCCCATCGTGGCTCAGCAATCTGCCCGTCTCCCATTTTTCGAAAAATTCCATGGCCAGTTTCCAGACATTTTCCCCGGCCATCGCTAGAGGTAAGTAAGAACGCAGGGCATCATTTTGCTTCTTAATGGCCTCCTCTTCCTTTTGATCCGCGAGAAGCCACAAGCTGTTTTGAGGCGCCTTATGGAGCGTCGTTGTACAAAACTTACGCCAAGCCCGGAACTGATCTTGTTTCCCGCTAGGGTTCCCCATCACAGCTCTCGGGCAGCCGTCATGCTTCCACTGCCATCGAATGTCTTTCATAGAAAGTTTCAACTGTCTGGGAGGCGCCTTCAGGTCCTTCTTGTTGTCCTGTGAACTAACAAGAAAATACCCTTCGAAGTCATCGTCGGAAAAGTACACCATCCGTGCCGGCCACCGCTCGAAATTGTACTTCTTGGCCACCTCGCTGCCGAGCAGCAACCTGGCTGCAGCCGCGTTGTGCTGCCCGCACACCGCGTAGTAGTAGTATTCTCCCGCCAGCTCATCTTTCCACTCCTCCGGCTTCAGACGTTGTGCCTTGGTCCCCGGAGTTGGTTCTTGAAGCCCCACTGGTGCGAGCTTGAAGACCGGCAACTCGTACGTTTGTTCTTTATTTTCGAACGCAGACCGCATTGCTTCCCTTATCGTTTCCACGAGGACGGGATCTAGCGACCGCTGGTTGTAAAGATCCTCCCACTCCCTTATGTCAACGATCTGAGTCGGGCTGATCTCAAACTCCCGCCCTGTCCTGACGCCGTCTTTGTACTCCAGGAAGTACCTGGCGTCCACGTCGATGGCAGGCCGTGGTGAAGAAGGTCCCAACTCAGGCTGTTTATGTTTCGAAGCTGGACGTTTGCTACCCGGGTGACCCTCTTCCACCCCCCTCCCCTTCCGTTTCTCTCCCGCAGTCCTCGGGGTCTTGGTCTTCTGTTTCTTCGAAGAGCCCACCAACTCTTCTTGACATTCTCCCCTTCTTTTTTGGGGAGTGCCCTGCGCTCCCTCCCCGCCCACGGCCTCGCCTTCCGCGCAATGGCCCTCGGCGGGCTCCAAGTCAGACCCACACAGGACTCCCTCTTCTTCGGGATCCGCTGCGGTCTGTTGCCGGACCCCAGGTATGGACAGCACGGACCTGTCTCTTTCCCTTGACGGCGAAAACGGCGAACGAGGTGCCGCCTCATCTTCGCTGTCGTGAAACTGACCTCTGACATTCTCCCGCTGCACATGTGTAGCCTTCCCGGAACCCAGATCCCCCCCCTCCCCCGCTGCCCCGCTCGACTCACAACCGCCGCACGGCTGCAAAGGCATTGACAGTTCCAGGTCGGGACCGACTTCGCAAGGGACGTTGAGGGCGGTGCCCGTGTCCTCCAACAGGTCGAAGAACTCTCGACCCAAAACAAACCCGCCCTGCCGGAGGAGGTCGTTGTAGAATGGGGTGTTCGCAGCACCCGCTCCGAACCCCTCGAACAGACACATGTCGAGAACTGCCCCCTTGGCACCGACGACGACGTTCCCCTTCGAACTGTACACATTTTTCATGTAAAACCGTCGACGACTGCCTTTAGCATTCTCCCACCCCAAGACAGCCCCCAGAACCCTGCGGCGCTTGTTGGCTTCGACGAAGATCACAGGACCACACGGCTGTTGGACTGGGTTCGAAGCATCAGCACAGCACCAGTCGACGAACCATTTCGACCTAGCGTGGTCGGACCACGTCCTCGAGGTCGTRGACGRCCGTTTTGTAGAATYTTTCCCAGATCCCATCCCGGAGGTCGCTGCAGGCTCCCCTTCGCCCCTGGACGAAGACATATTGTCTGCGGACGACAACGGAAAACAAATAAAACACCAGCGAGGGTCAAATCGCAGTCAAAAGCATAACGCAGGCGAAAAACAGAGGATGCACACCTTGCCCTCAACACGTCGGTCACATGACGCTATCCGAGGACCTCGAAGTTCGGATCCCGGCGAACTTCTAACGCGAAGACCAACAATGACCTCTTACCTGCAACGAGATCATTCCTTACAAGGGCACACGCGTCATGCAGCTGGGCGACAACCACGTCGGTTTTTTCCGGAACACGGATGTCCACCGGATCGGGAGTGGATGGGCGGTGACGCACAAAGCCCGTGTTGGACGGGGCAGTGTCCTCCTTTCAGCAATAGGAACCCGGACAGCTCAGGACGCGAAGTTCGCCTAGATCCGTACTAAAAGTGCCTGTCCGAAGCCAAACCAACGCACCCACGGAAACGTGAAGTTCGTCGGGATCCGAGCTTCAGGAAAATGCGACAGGCAGAGACGACGTCAGGCAAACACAGATTGGAATGAACCACAACCCGGAAAGGGCGCACTAACACAAAAAGCCGCTTGAGAAGGACAAGTTCGTCGAAATCCGAACTTCTTCTGATGTGCGCAACTTGGCATTGGATGAAGCCAAGTTCGAATGAGCAGCCGCGACAACATTGTATGATTCTCTGGAGGAGCAGTTGTGGATCAGGGTTTGACTCGTGTCGCAATCCACGGGGGATCATCAAGCCCAGCGCCCGTTCAATACACAGGCTTCACAGGAAGTTCGTCGGGATCCGAACTTCAGGAGGCTGCGAGAGAGACAGACAGAAAGTTGGGGTCCTAGCAAGGTGTCCTAGCACCATGCCAACCGGGATCTCCAACGGGTTTCAGGAAACGCGAAGCTCGCGCGACCTTGCGACGGGGATCTCTAAGAGTGCTTTTGGTATCTCGCTACGACAGTGACCGACTATTTGGCACATGTTGATGGTGGACGGGCGAAAACCGGTTATGGGCAGATCCTTCCGCGGCGATGGGTCTTTCCCGCGGCCCGCCCGACGCCAATGACATCATAGACAAATTAACGGAGAGGCCAGAACCCGAAGTTCGCCGAGATCCGAACTTTGCCGGGGCACGACATGGCAGGAGACGGCGTCAGACACGGACGTCCAACATGACTTTCGTCATGTCACTGAACCGAACGACGACCAAGGATTTGCACGACAAGCGTGTGGTGCAGCGTGTACCAGCAACCGCAGAGTCTCACACTTCTCTGCAGTCCTACAAATCTGACATGTTAGGCAGCAGAACCACATCTCGTCCCTCGCCGTTCTTTTCCCTCAAACAGAAGGACTAAAGACCGGTTCGGATGCGGCGACAATTGGGGATCCCCCGGAACGACGTCGTGAACCGAAGCCAAACAAAGCATTCAGTGACGATCCGTATACGCAGGTCTGCGGTTCGTCGACCGATGCACTCTCCGAAAAAATGGACATGTATTTCATCCTAACAAACACCCCCGGTCGTCCCAAGGAGTTTCCTATGTAGTCCCGTATGTCAGCCGCTTTCTCCTCAACCTCACGAAACAACGAATAGTTTCGAACGTGACCGGCTATCACCAAATCTGGCCACCCATCCACACGTTCAGGCCCACGCATCGACACGAATTTGGACCCTTCAATCACAACCTCATTGCGCGACACGAGCATAACTGCGTCGACGAGTTTCCTGCTCTTGTTCGAAGCAGCGACACACAAAACTCTGGTGAAATCAGATCCGGACACAGTCAACCGCACACAGCAGTACGACACAGCTCGTGGAGAAATCCCGTGGCCACGGAGCAGGTACTGGTCCAGAAACGAGCAGCGACGAGCGCAGTCCACCAACTCTTGTTTCCGTGAGCCACCCCAAGTTCGTGGCGACGACCTGACGTTGTGGCACTCGAGGCGACTGAAATAGCGACTAATGCAGCTTAGTGCTTTCCACATATGGTTCAGGAACTTATGTCCGAGGACGGCGTCAGGCAGTGGGATGAGGTCCCCGAACTCCAACATATTTGCGAACTTGTACTGGCTTGCCCAAGGGCAGTGAGTCTCCATATTGTCCCAATGGCATTCGCCCCAGTCGTCAAGATGCGCGTCCATGCACGGGACGACGGTCCTCTGTGGTCGCTCCGTGGATCGTTGTCACACCGTTGAATGCCGCACGGATTTCGCACAAGGACTAAAAGGTTCTGCTAAGCAAATGTGCGTCTCGGCACTCATGGCCTGTGGTCTCGAAAAGATCGACTCGAAGATGCGTGGTGTCGAGAACGTCCCCTCCATCACGCAACCTGCACACCATGCGCACATGCCCGACGACATACACGGGCACGGAGACACTCGTAAACGCGTCATGTCTTGCGATGTGCGACCCATGGCATTAGACGCAGTATATGCCCCAAGATCCGATTTCGGGTGGGCGACTTCGTCGGTGTTCACATCTACCGGCCCGCGGGCCAGCCGCAAACACGCCCTACGACATGTTCGCCTTGATCCAAACTTGGCGAGACTGCACGGGAAAGATGAAGCTGTCTCCCAAACCCGACATTCAAAACCGCCAAGAAGTTCGGATCCAGGCGAACTTCAATTTCGTACGAATAAAAAGTTGTGGCAATCCACCGGTCGCCAGGAAGTCCACAGTCAGAACCCGCACTACCCGAAAGGTGAAGCGCGCCGGGGTCCGAGGTCGACGGTTTTCCGACGAACCGTGCACGGGAAGTTCGGATCTCAGCGGACTTTGCATTTTATAGAATCCGTAGTCCGCCGTGATCCAAAATTTATGATTGTCTGAGGAACCGTGCATGGCAGGTTCTGATCCACGGCCCAGCAGGAACATCTCCTGCCACATGCATTGCGAAAGGAAGACAGCTCAAATTCGCCGGGATCCGAACTTGGCAAATTCGCCGGGATCTGAACTTGCGAAAGGAACATCTCCTGCCACATGCATTGCGAAAGGAAGACAGCAGGTTCAGATCCACGGCCCAGCAGGCGAACCTGACGTTGGAACGAGGAACCTTTGCACGAGAAGTACGAATCCCGGCGGACTTCGCATTTTTGCGAAACAAAAGTTGTGGCAAACACCCGTTCGCGAGAAAGGACACAGTCAGTACCCATACCATGCGCGACGCGAAGTTCATCGGGGTCCGAACTTGCCACGCGAGGTCCGGATCCACGGGAGGGTGTTCGCCGGGATCCGAACTTCTCGAGACCGCGTGGAAGAGAATCAACCGGCGGGCTACACATTTTTTCAAATACAAAGTTGTGCCAAACCCCGGGAGCTACAAACCCACGTTCTGAAACCCGCACATTGAGACAAGCGAAGTTGCCGGGGTGCGAACTTGACGTCTGTGCGAGGAACCGTGCAGTAGAAGTCCGGATCCCGGCGGACTTCGCATTATCATGGATCCGAGGTTCGCCAAGGTCCGGACTCGACGAGTGTGCAAGGAATAGTGCGAGCGAGGTTTGGATCCGCAGGCCGGCAGGAACCTGTAGTTGGCCGGGATCCGAACTTGGCGAAATCACGTGCGAGATACACACTTGTTTGCCAAACTCACCGTCCTGCAATTTCTTGAAGTTCGGATCCCGGCGGACTTCATATTTTTCCACGTCCCAGGCTATGGTTGCGGACCGGGGTTGCAAAGCGTGTTTACGCAGCTGCATGAAGTTCGCCGGGATCCGGACTTGGCAAAATTGCGTGGGAGACATACACCTGTCAACCGAACTCGCCGTCTAGCAATTTCTTCAAGTTCGGATCCCGGCGGACTTCCAATTTTTACACGTCCCAGTCTGTGGTTGGGGACCGGGGTTGAGAAGCGTGTTCGAACAGCTGCATGAAGTTCGCTGGGATCCGAACTTGGCGAAATTGCGTCAGAGATGCACATGTGTCTGCCAAACTCGTCGTCCAACAATTTCTTGAAGTTCCGATCCGGACGGACTTCTAATTTTCCACGTCCCTGGCTGTGCTTGCGCGCCGGGGTTGAAAAGCGTGTTCGAACAGCTGCACAAGCTCGCTGGGATCCCAACTTCTTCCAGTGTTTGATTGTGCGATCAGTTCGGTTGGAACGGCCACATTCCGATCACGAGAACAGTGTCGGCGATGCGTGGGTTGGTGGGTGCTCAACGTTCGCCGTTCAGTGATCGTCAAGTGTCGACGACCCTACGTCCTCCAAAGTTCGACGTCCTACGAGGTTCGACGCCCGCCGAGGTTTGATGTGGATCCAGGTTCCATGGGAAGCATGGTTCGATGTTATACGAGGTTCGATGTGCAACAAGATTGTGACGAAGTGCTTTTTATTCGTTCGAAGATCGGGATCGACGTTTTTTCGATCGGTTGTGCGTTTCGTTCGCCGGTTTCGATCGTGCACATGATCATTTGCCTTGAGGATTCTCCGCGATCGTTCTCCATGATGAATTAGCACAGAACAGTTGATCAACCAGCAGAGCAATCGCCAACCGAGTTGTCGACCAATGAGTTGATCCTGGCAGATTTCCTGACCGATCGACGGTTCGGTCGAGGTCTGTCAGGTGGGTAAATAAACAGGTCGCTAGCCGGCGGGTTGGTCTTCGGTGCAGCACACACGATCAATCATCCGATCGCAAGTAATCTTTTGTCGTTTCGCGATTGGTCGGTTGGATGCGTTGTCGCCTCGTGCATTGGTTAATCATCCGTCGGGCAGATCAGCGGCGCTGTTGTTGGGGAAGCAAACAGCATCTATCACCCGATCGCGAGTGGTCGGCTGGTGTTTCGTGATCGGTCAGTTCATCACGTGTGTGGTGTACATATTATTTTGGATCTGATCGACCATTGGATCACGAGTGATATGAACACACACGACAGAAAGAACAACACACACGAGGTGGTAACGTCTACACGGCAAACACGACCAATCATCCGATCGCGAGTGATCTCATCGTGTTTCGCGATTGGTCGATGGATGCGTTCGCTGTGTCGACATTGCCACCGCGTGTTTCGATTGATCATCCATTGGGCAGATCGGCGGACATGACATTGGGACAGCACACAAAACCAATCGGGCATGGCACGTGCTCACGATGACGTTGTGTTTCGTTATTGGCCGCCGCGTGTTCGATTCGAGCTTCCGTGCTTCGCCACTTGAGTACAGCACGAGCGCAATCGTTTATTGATACTCTCCTCACACATCCTCACACATCCACACACAAGCGGAATCGAAGGGCAAACACATATGCACAGACAGGCACACACACGCACACACACGCACACACACACACACACACACAATCACACACACGCGCGCCGACACACGGCGCCCACACACACATGCCCCTCAGGTATAGACGCGTGCACGATCCTGCCTCGCGCGTGTGGCACAAACGTTAATACAAACACAAACACAAGGGAACACGCACTCGAACACACACACACACACAATGAAGCATGCACAAACACACAATCGCACACAAACACACACACACACAYACRCCCACCCGCACACATGCAGCCACAAAATCTTTCGATCTGCGCGAGCATATCGTCACAAAAAACCTCCCCCGCACGCGCGCACATGCAAACATACATCCCGACTGCGTGCGCACTCACCGTGTGGGACTTCCGAGTGAAGATGAGCGCGAACCCCGGCGTTTGTCGTGACGGCACTCTGTCCACCTTTGGGCGTGCACTTCGCGTTTGCTGGGGTGCTGCGTGGGGTGGAGGTCGCGCCTTCCGAGAAAGGAGATCAGAAGCGACGTCGAGTATGACGTGGACAGCGACTTGGTAGGCGGAGGGACATGCGAGGGCATGTGGGGTGCGTCGGTGCCACGAAACGTGCGCGGTGAAGAATGGTTGTGCCAGCTATGGCGCACCAGCTGTTGACGACAGTGGCGGTGCGTGGCTTCCGTCGGGCAGCATTTCCCCAGCAAAAAACGCAAAACGCATCGTCAATGCCCAGGGCGCCGCTCGTATTTGTAGGCCTGCGGGACACGAGGCCCCCTCGGGCCTTCCGTTTCGGATTCCCGTGCAGGGTCCGCGCGCCGACTCGCGGCTGTTCGATCCACGCATCGAACGGTGGCTGCACGTCGAAATTGTCGCGAGGGGGACCCGGTGCGTCGAAATGTGACAAAAACGTCCCTACGGGCTGGCCCTTCCCGGACGTCATTGGAAAACGGGCCCTTGTTCCGGGCCCCTCGCGTTCGTGTCTTCAGGTACGCGGGCGTTGGTGGAGGGGGTCTCAGGTGTCGGCGGGGGGCGGTTTGTACTTTCCAGGGGTGAAGGGGGAGAACCGCGGGAGGGGAGAGGGGGGCGGGGGGCTGGGGGAAAGGGGAGGTTGGAGGGGTTCGCGGCAATTCGCGTCTCCTGGCTGGCGAGCGGGGTCTGTGGCCGTGCGGGGGGACACGGGTGGGTCTTTCCATGGGGTGCGACGACAGTCTGACGCTCTGCTGCCTCGGGTCTGGGGCAGCCCTTTCGCATCTCGAGCCTTACGAGCGCATTTGCGCTCGACGTCCCGTCAGCGACATCCTCCATCGCCTTTTCTGCTCCGCTGTTGCGCCAGGCGGCGGCGAGCGTGAGCGCAGGGGTTTCCTCTCGTCGACAACTGTCGTCTGTTGTTCGGTTGTCTCCGCTTCGACATCTCGTCTCTGCGTCCTGCGTCAGCAAGTGGCCACCGCTGTTTGCGCTGAGCCCTGGTCGAACAGTTGCGCCATCGTGTGCGCTTCGCCGTCGTCGAAGAACTGCGCCTCCTCGAAGAACTGCGCCTCCTCGAAGAACTCTGAGCCGTCAAAGAGCAGCGCCATCCTGTGCGTTGTGCCCTCTTCAAGGTAAAGTGTTGTTTTGCCTGCCCACGTGTCAGGCATGTTTGCCGGCCCATGGGAGCGGCCGCGTCTCGCCACCTGTTTCAAGTTGCGGGGACGGAGGGAAAGGATGTCGGTGATATTGGGCCACATGGTTTCTGTGTCCCCTTCTGATTCCTGCTCGTTCTTTCCTCGCGAGCAGCCCCGTGATCCTTGCTTGCCATCATCATCATCATCATCATCATCGCCCCCATCATCACCATCATCATCGCCACCACCATCAGCGTAATCATCTTCATGATCATCATCATCATCACCATCATTGTCATCGTGATCATCATCATCATCATCAGCATCATCATCATCATCAACAACATCATCATCAACCTCGGCAACGTCATCAACATTGTCATCATCATCGACATCATCATCAACATCATCAACGTCATCAACAACATCATCATCATCAGCGACATCGTCGCCGTCATCAAAATCACCACCATCGTCCTCTTCGTTGTCATCGCCATCATCAACATCATCATCATCGTCGTCATCATCGTCATCATCATCATCGTCGTCATCACAAACATCATCATCACGAACGTCATCATCGACATCATCATCGTCATCAACATCGTCATCAGCGCCAGCGACATCGTCACCCAGATCAACATCACCACCGCAATCGTCACCATCATCGTGTTCATCACCGCCGTCATCATTATCATCTTGTCGTGCCACGTGTCGCAAGTGCATGGGACGGCGGGAACGGATGACGTGGACATCGGGGCACACGGTTTGCGTGTCCCGTTCTGCTTCTCTCTCATTCGTTCCACGCGACCGCCCCCACGATTCTTGTTTGGCTTGGCATTGAAGAAAAATGTCGTTGATCACAAGCTGGACATTGCAAACCACTCCCACGTGGTCGAGGCAAACACGAAATCGCCTGTTCCCAGCGGAACACGAAACCCCTTCGAAACACTTCCCTCGCTCGTTTGCTGTTCTCGACAAAGAGATTAGAGGTTGGTTATCACAAAGGAGACACATGGGCTGCGCGCGACCGCTGTTGGTACTAAGAGTCGCGCGGTGGCCACGGTGGGAAGGATGTTCGCCGTCCACGTGGCGTGCAGTGAGAGGTAAGGTATTCATAAACAGGAGGGGGTCGTCGTTCCGTGTTCGTGTTCTCGCCGCAACACTTGAGCCTCCCTCCCCGAAGAAACTATGGCGTCAATCTCGGGAGAGCTGCTGTCGTCTCCATCCCCCGCACACAACGTGCACATGATCCACCATAGAGGCCATGGATGTTGAGTGCGCGCTCCTAGCGCTGGTCGTGAGGGATGCGATATTGCATTCCGCACGACAAATGCCAGGACTGTGCGCGCAACATCTGCGGGCTCCAGAACGAAGAATGCACACGTTGCGTGCGCGCGATGGAGAACGCCTGCGCCGCTCGCTGCAATGACGATGGCGTTTCTTCGGCGTGAGCGCCGCTTGTTTCGTGACGACAACCTCGACACGAAAACATGGCCTGGTTCAGTAACGAACAATCTGGCCGCCTCCGGGAAACGTCTCAGTCATCGGGGCAAGGGGGGTCGCCATTGTCACCGCAAGCTCGAAACCAACAACAGCGAAACGAAAAACGGCGCGTGGCTTGTGGTTGCCTGGCGAGATGGGAAGTTCGGATCCCGGCGAACTACAACAATCATGCGCAGTGCTCTCGCGAAAGCAGCAATCTGATGCCGTCGCGCGGCCGCAGGGAGAGCACGCACAGGTGCGAAAATAGTGCATGATTGCTGTAGTTTGCCGAGATCCGAATTTCCCATTTTTTCGCCGGTTGTTGGTTTCGCGTTCGCAGTCACAATGCCATCCCGGGTTGCCCTGATGACAACGTTTTGCGGGACACAGTTCCCATTTTTTGGGCTTGGGGTCGATAGTTCATAACGCCATGCCAGTTTTCAGCGTGCGACGAAGTTCGGATCCCGGCGGACTTGCAATCTGCAGCATGCGAAGTCGCGGGCTGCTTGGATGATTATTGTTGTTTCGACCGCCTTGCTGAAATAAGATGCTTACGGTTTGCATGGATCTTTTCAGAGTCCTGGTTGTATGACTGTTCTTTCGTTGGCGTTGCCGCAAAAAAAAAAAGTCCTACCAACGGGACCCCAGCAAAAACAAAGTGTTTAATGCTCCCGGTCGAACGCGGCAACCAATCTGAAGTTCGGATCCGGGCGGACTTCGTGGTTGGCACCCGTACGTGGTCCCATGAACCTCATTGTGGAACCTGCCATTGCCCGACTGCGAGCTCGCCTTGTCTGCGGTACTAATCGGGGGTCCACCAACCGTGCTCATTTTTTTTTTTTGTGCTTGCAGTTATTTTCATCAAGGATGGCAACATTTGCGACTGGATCGCCTCAAGTGCTCGCTTCGTCGATGAGGAGAATCGACGTCCATGGGGGTCTATTGGGGGCCGCGCTGCGCCAATTTCCGACGTAGTGCACCTGCGACGACCATTTTTGTTCTGCGTGTTCTGTTGGAACAAACACTTGTGAGCAGCAGCAGGGCCTCCGTGAACATGCAGCCAAGCCTAGCGTTCCTTCTGTGCAATTCCACACCGGTCATCCAAATATCCGTCGTCCCCAGCGCAAACCGGTTCCTGGCCAGTCCAGCAAGCGCCAAGTTCGGATCCCGGCGGACTTTGAGGTCTCGCGTAAATTTAACCGCCGTTTTTGACGGCCACGACTGTCGAGTGTGTTCTGATTACCAGAGGCCTCCGGGCACGCAAAAGTGCTCGCATGAGGCCTGGAGCTTCAAGTGTGAGTTGATTGCGCGAGGACTATGGGTGCGAAAAATTGCTCATCTTCTGAGATGCCCTTCGAGGGGTTTGAGGGGGTTGCCGACGGTGATAGCGGCCGTGTCCCTTCTCTGTGTGCCGTCGATCTTTGTTGCCCCCAGAGGGTTTTGACCGTCCCGGTGCGCGGATTCTTGTCGCACACATGCTCGTGTTTCTGCGTGGTTTCCGGTTCGCGCTTTCGCACGTAGACGTTACCGGCCCGCGAATTGGGGGTCGCCTTGTCGACTGGCCGAATTGGGGCTTCGAAGGGTTGCAGGGGGGTCTTTCGTCAGTTTCTACATTTTTCTTGTCTGCGCGGTTGGGATGTCCGATCTCGATGAACTCTTGCACTAGGGGTCAGTTTGGGGTCGAGCTGCGCCCGATTTTGTGGTGGTGCATCCACCGCTGCCCTTTGCTCTGCGCGTGCTGATGTTCAACGACAGCTCGAGAGCGGCAGAGCCTTTCTTCTGTGCGGCCTAGCATGGCGTTCCTTGTGTGCACCCGCTGGCGCTCCGTTCCACTGACATCGGCCGCGCAAAAACAGGTTCCTTGCTACTCCAGCACAGGCCAAATTCGGATCCCGGAGGACTTCGAGGCGCAACATGAATCTGACCGTTGTTTTCAACGGCTTGGACTTCTCCGTCCGTCTTCAATGCCGGCGGCCTGGTATTGCGCAAAATTGCTCGCCTTGTAAGTTGCCTTGAAAGTTGTTTATTGGGGTTGACGACTGTGTCGCTGGCCGGGTCCATTTCCGGTGTGCCGTAGATCTTCGTTCATCGGCGCCCCAAAATGCGGTGCGCCCGAGCAACGCCTGCTTCTGTGCAAATGCCATTCACCCGTTACAAATGCAGGCGAATCCACAAGGTTCGGATCCTGGCGGGCTTTGAGGATCGACGCGAATCTATCTGTCCTTTGCGTGGCGCCTGGAGCTTCGAGTGTGAGTTGATTGCGACAGGACTGTGGGTGCGAGAAATTGCTCGCCCTCTTAAATGCCCTTCAAGGGGTTCATGGGGGTTGCCGAAAATAAGGGGCACGACCATTGTCACCGCCGGCAAGCCACATTAACCCCTTCGAGGGGATTTATGAAGGCAAGCAATTTTTCGCGCCCACGATCTTTGTTGCCCCCCAAGATTTTTTACCGTCGCAGTGTGCGGAGTCTTGTCGCAGAATCGGGGGTCGCCTTCAGGACTGGCCGAATCAATGTTTGGAAGGGTTGAAGGGGGGATCTTTCATCCTTTTCTACATTTTTCTTGTCTATGCAGTGGGGATGTCCGAGTTCGATAATCTCTTGCGCTAGTACCTGTGAATGGAAAACTGCACGAGCTCGCTTGGACGATGGTGAGAATCGAGTTTATGGGGGTCAGTTTCGGGTCGCGCTGCGCCGAATTGTGTGGTAGCGCATCCACCACTACCCTTTGTTCTGCGCGTGCTATCGTTCACCGACAGCAGAGCCTTCCTTCTGTTCGACCAACCATAGCGTTTCTTGTGTGCACCCGCTGGCGCTACCTTCCACTGACACAAGCCGCGCGAAAACAGGTTCCTTGCTACTCCTGCACCCGCCTGATTCGGATCCCAGCGAACTTAGAGGCTCCCCGTGAATCTCACCGTTATTTTCAACAGCTTGGACTGCCCAGTCCGTCTCCAATGCCGGCGGCCTGGTAGTGCGGAAAAGTGCTCGCCTTGTGAGTTGCTTTCAAAGGGGTTTATTGGGTTGACGACGGTGTCACTGGCCGGGTGCATTTCCGGTGTGCCGTGGATCTTCGTTTATCGACCCCCCGATATGCGGTGCGGCCGAGCATCGCCTGCTTCTGTGCAAACGCCATCCACCCGTTCCAATACCTGCAGCCTCGCGAAAACCTGTTACTCGCTGCAGGCAAATCCGCCAAGTTCGGATCCTGGCGGACTTTCAGGATCGGCGCAAATCTATCCGTCCTCCGCATGGCGCCTGGAGCTTTGACTGTGAGTTGATTGAGAGAGGACTGCGGGTGCGAAAAATTGCTCTCCCTCTTAAATGCCCTTGAAGGGGTTCATGGGGGTTGCCGAAAATAAGGGACACGACCGTTGTCACCGTCGGCAACCCCCATAAACCCCTTCAAGGGCATTTCAAAAGGCGAGCAATTTTTCGCACCCACGATCTTTTCTGCCCCCCAAGGGTTTTGACCGTCGCGGTGTGCAGAGTCTTGACGTAGACATGCTTGTGTTTCTGCGTGCTGTCCGGTTCGCGCTGTCGCACGTCGACGTTCCTGGCGCGCGAATCGGGGGTCGCTATTGCACTAGTGCCAGCTAATGGAACACCACACTAGCTCGCTTAGACGATGGTGAGAATCGGTGTTTATAGGGGTCTGTTTGGGGTCACGCTACGCCGAATCGTGTGGTGGTGCATCCACCACTACCCTTTGTTCTGCGCGTGCTATCGTTCACCGACAACAGAGCCTTCCTTTTGTGCACCCATTGGCGCTACCTTCCACTGACACAAGTCGCGCAAAAACAGGTTCCTTGCTACTCCTGCACCCGCCAAATTCGGATCCCGGCGAACTTTGTGCTCTCAACGCGTAAATCAGACTGTGCTTACAGTTTGCTCCGCTGTTTTGCAGGGTGTGGACACGAATTCGAATGACCCGTTCGACCCGCACAAGAGAGAATAATCCATTGCGCTGACCGGAATCGCATCCGGTGCACCGACGGTTGCATGACGGCGCCGAAGAACGCTCGGCGAACGGCCGCATGAACCGGGCTATGGAAACTGAACAAGCCATCGACTTGCATTGCCAGCTACAACACCTGGAGTTGGCCCCGACGACCTCTTCGAACAGTTCGTCGTTCCAACAATCAGCTGCGGATTTCCCCAGAAAATGAAATCTCGCTTTTCGTGAGAGCTTTGGAGGTTGCATCCAACTGCCTACAGAATTGGCAACAACGTCCGCGGTCAAAAAACCGTCTACCTCCCGGATAGAGTTCCACATTCCTGGCGAGGTGCACCCCACAGCTTCGGCGCACAGCAGTTGCGTGCCGATGGGTGTTTCTTACGCATCGTCTAATGACGAGAGTGAGCGGTTGGTGGCCACTGATTACTCGTCTAGACAACGGTCCTATTCCAGTGGACC